AGGACACCTATGCTCACAACAATTACTTAAGCCTTTGGGCCCGCATGTTCAAAAATCGCGATACCCTCCCGGTCACTAACATGGAGGGTAGACCTGTTTTTTTGTTAGCATGCTCCTTTTGGTATCTTGAACACCCTCACTACAGCCCACCGGATAAAACCTTGGGGGGCGAACGAATAACCTGGAGAAGCCATAGTAATTAACTAGCAAACAGAGCTTGTTCCACCACTAAAATGATCAGAACCATAAAGCAATTACGCAAAACATGAGTTGGGAACTGTAAACTCAGCACCCAACATTAATGTTTAAACGCCAACGAAAAAACAACGAACACATTGCACAATTTATTTCATCATGTCCTTGTATATAATGTCCTTGTGTGCATTGCGTCTCAACTTGCCACATCTAAGTAAAATACTCCAAGAATTCAGCGGAAGGTCCATTGGCCTGCTTCTTGCCGTGCATTCCCAGGAAGCTTGACATGGAATGCAACAAACATGATTCTCTGAAGAGAGGCTGCTTCTTGAATCCGCGAGTTTCAGGTTCCTGCTCTAGGCCTCCAGCAATCTTTCTCCACATGGACCACCCCCCAAACCAAGCAAGAGCGAGAGAGAGAGAGAGAGAGAGAGAGAGAGAGGGAGGAAGAAGGGAGAAAGAGAGAGAGAGAGAGAGAAACGAATCTCCTGCTTGGGGGACCCCCCCTTTTGGGTTTCATACTAATTTGTAAAGGAGTCATTGTGGCATTCCAGTCAATCTCCACAGGAGGCATTGGCTTCGGCAGCTGTCAGTCCGTTTTTTTGCAGGGCTGTGTGAACGGAAACCACATTCTCTAAGAAATTTTGCAAGTGAAGTGGTCGCAGCCAACCGCAAAACCCGCTAAAGCGAACTTTGGACTAATCTGGAGGATCGTCCTACTCAGGGATGGTTCCCTTCTTATTATGTATAGGCTCTATTTCAGTGCGCTCTGACTAGAAGGGTCCTCCGGATCAATGCAAAGTTCACACCTCCACTAGGCATCGCGCCGAGACTGGCGTTGAGCATGTACGCGCGAGCGTTCGCCATGGGCGAGGCGGGTGTCGCAAGGTCCCTGATCAAAGCAGAGTTCATTGCTCAGGGCCAGGAAATGGAAGGGAATGAAATGAAAGTAATAAAAATCGACGAGTAATTACAGATATTGCTCCTTTACGATTGTGAGCAAAGTGTTTGTTCTCCAAAGTGTTCACCTCCTTTTAATAAAATTGTGTAGCACCTTATAGTAACATTGGCTCTGACGGTTGCCGGCTTTCTGAAAAGCAGGATCCCTAAGGATGACAAGGATACCACTATCACGCTAGCTGTCCTTTTCGGGGAGCCCCTCTTAACAAGGGCATTTCCAGGTACGGGTCTTGGAGGTTTGCATGCACGTATGGATGGGCCTAAAGTCCATACGTGTTGCCTACCTTTTACCACTAACATGATCCTCCCAAAGAGAAACGAGTTCAGGAACTGTGGAAGTGAGGCTTGGATGGTCTGAAGCAACAAGCTATAACCAAGCAAAGGGGCAGGTTGAAAGATTGTCAAAATTCGAACGGCCTACTCGGACAGCCTGGGAGTCATCTATGGTGAGCAACTCCAGTTCCAAGGGTTTACAAGGGTGGCAAGTGGGGAGTGAAAATGACCCGGACCATTACCCCTCTGACAAGAATATGTCTACACCCAAAGGAGAAGGCACTCTCCCACCCCCATCCATCCATTATTTCCCTTGTAACCCACAAAGGGAATACATGGGGGAGGGTTCCCTTTGTTGGGAATATCCCTCCCTCTTGTACTCAGGGGGTGGGAATGCACAAATACACAGGCCATCGCAGGACCATGACTCTTTAGTTATTTTTTGGGGCCGAACCCCCAGTTCACGAAATGACCAGAGGATACATTAGTGCTGAGATGTGCTGAGTAGGACCAGAATTGGCGTTTGACACTCTGATTGAAAAGCAAACTACGACTTGCTTGCACTCCTGGTGGTTCAAGGTCACGAAACAAGAAGGTAGATAGCTGGTCTACAAGCTGCACACCTCCGAATGGGTGTTTCTTTAAACTAGTTCCCCTGTATGGGTGTTGAGAAGACCAACGAGCCTTGGCTGAATCTATGAAACCACACGGCACCTGGGGTCTTAATCAACAACTCTGCTGTTGGGGAAATTAGCACAACCAGGCCAAGGATTCACATGTGCCATGGTCGAAACTCCCTCAAGAGGGCTTTGAGGCACTAGAAACCCCTACAAGTAGCAAAATGGACAATATCGGTTTGGGTTGCTGCTTGGGTTCCCACAATCTTTGGGCCAAGGCTAATTTGAAAGACTCCAAGCAGGCCGGGCGCACACGTATGGGTTGAAGCCAGGCTGAACCGCCTGGCAAGTTCAGTTGGATCTTACCCTCTAGCGAGAGACTTGGGTGTGGCTCAAAATTAAAGAGCTCGGGTTACTCAGGTTTTGGTCTTTGCTTCCATCCAAGGGGCCCAAACATTGGGCCCACTTTTTGAGCCACAGCCACTTGTCTCCCCAAACTGTTTGGGCTTCTGCAGGAGAGTATCCAAACACTGCTCTCCATCCCACCCACCCAGCACCTGTGCGAGGGTGGCAAAGCAATTTCATCTATGAAGAATCCCCTGGTTCCTACTGCAGTTGAATCTGGACGCACCAGGTATTTGTTTTTTGCAGGAAGCCTCCCGATTCCATTCGGGATCACAACTGCAACAACAAGGTCCCTCTTGTAGCACTTGTTGAGCAGTATTGTTTGGGGGGAAGGCCTTGACAGCCTTGCAAGGCGCCAAATAGCGGTCTAGCAAGAACGGCGCAAATATGCTGGCCCCTTTTTGGCTTCTGCGGAAACAAGGTCAACTTATGCGCTATTCAGTGCCACCAAATGAAGCTAACAGACTAACAGACATCTATACGTTGTGCAACCAGGAACCTCTACCCCTATAGGGGAGGGTACACACGTCAAAGTCTATCGACATCTACCATCATCACTTTTCTACAAATCAGATGTGACAACTTATACCAAATGTCTCGCCCGGTGTCAATCAGCTCAGGCAAGGCTTAAACAACTCAGGAGAGTCTTGGCAGCTCTCATGACTGTCCTCAGTAGACCGCAAGTGAGCAGGGTCTTTGACCGTGGCATCTTGCCCAAAGGACGGCAAATACAAGGTTTGCCTCTGACTCACTAATAAGAGCACACCTGAGTACAAGTAGGGCCCCCTCAATGTCCCTAAGTGAAGCGCCAAAAATTGCAAAGGGCTTTGAAGTCAAGGAACTCAGACCAAAAGTAGCTTTGAGAACCCCTCAACCTTCGCTACAACCTCCCCGAGCCTCTCCCAAGCGTGGGGCCGCTGGACCAGCCTGGCTCTGCAGAAAGGAGTTCGAGCGTTCAGTCTTCAAGGGGGAATTCCAATGGGGTGGGTTCACAAGGGGGGAAGTCTAAGAGATGTTTGGTGTTCCACTGGCCTACTGTTGCCCCCCAAAAAGCGCATCGTGTATTTTTACATCATAGAAACCAGCAAACATTTCGGCGAGAAGTTAGCCCACCCTCTGGTTTCTCTAGGTATTTTACTAACTTCCTGCAGAATTTGACCTTGAAACCGAACCTCGCTTTGAGATGAACCAAACGAAAAAGGGTGTTCTTGCTTGCCAACGGATGGAACCCAAGGGAGAAATGCCCGAAGAATCAAACTTCTGGCCAGGATTAGAGGGACACAGATTGATGGGTGTCGGCTTTTTGAAAAAGGAGCAAAGCACAACTCAGTTGAATGGATTGGCCAAAACAAGTCCAAACTTTCTCCTGCCATCAGAATGGTCTTCTGCAAAAGTGACTAAAGTCCAGAAACTTGGGCAATAAGGCAAAGGTGCCTGCAATCCTGATGCTCTTGATGCAAAGACGCACTCGGGACCAGGCCTTAAGGATGAGAAAAGGTAAGCCCTGCAGAAATCATCCAAAACAAACGCGGTTGAACCCAGACCACCAGTCGTGGGAAAGATAGGGCACCCCCCAGACCCCAGAAGAGGCCGAACACCAAGCCCGATGAGGTCGGAACTGCGCCTAGTGGGCTGAATAAGGCCTGATAGCATTGGCATAACTGGGATGCCCTCACATCCCCCGCTAAAAGTTTAACTTTGAGTGGGTTAAATGGAAATTACCACTAAACACTAAAAGGCTAAACAGCTAAGGGGATGGCTGGGAGCCACCAAGATAAGTCATGCCCGTCTTGCCAATGGGGTTTACTGTCTGGCGTCACAGAAACTATGCAAGTACATGCATGAGTGATGTGTCGGGAGTCTCATCTTCGTGGCTCGCTGCCCATCGGAAACCAGATATCTTTTCGTGAGGGTCTAGCACAGAACAAAAGACGTGGCAAAAGAACAAAAGGGGCCCGCAACCGAACAACTGAATAATTAACCGTAGCGAGGTCTGGCAGTTCTTGCTGATATGTTTGTGGCAAGACAAAAATCAATAATGTTTTGTTGCAAAGGCGGTGTTACCTCACCAAGCGCAAGAAAGGGCAAACTGTCTCACATGATCGTGTTGGCGCGCACGTCACCATTTGCGGCCGTTCGCTGCCTTCGCTCCACCAGGAGCAATTGCAATCGATACATCACGCGCCCTGGGATTGCAAACTACCCAATACTGTCCAACAAAAATGGTTTTGCTAGCTTCATGAATGAATGGATGGCGTCGGAAAATGTGCATTCTGTTTGTATCCTAAAATAATCTTCCCAGAAAGTAAAGTGCAGAAACTGGGCAAGTCATAAGGTTTCTGCTTGGGAAGATCAAGGAAAATCGATTGTGGCCCCGCAATCCCAGGGAGCGATGTAAAACTTGTCAAAATCACCCAGGTGCTATCCCAGGATGCACCCTTGCGCGAAACATGGAAGTGCACAGGAACCCCTTCAAAAGGGAAAACAGTCGTTTGCAGGGTGTGTGCGCACTTCCACGTGTGGGAGGGCAATGCAAACACTTCCTGAAAATCAGGCGCGGGGTTCATCGCTCTCCTCCTGCAGTCAGGCCAAGTCACCAAATTGTATCCCAAGAGGTTCCGAAGCATTTGGGCTTGAGCTTTTTTGAGGGACCCCCACCCTCACATGTCCTCGCCCTTGGGATTCGCAGTCTTGTCGATTGAACCAAAAGAAACGCCGCGCTGCACTTCGCCTCAAACAAATCCAGCTCTTCCGAAGGGACGGTTTTTGGGGTGGCTGACTTTGAAGGGGTCTCCTCCCTGCACCTCCCTCCAAAGCAAAAGTAAAGCGAACATGAAGCCATTTGTTGTCTGGGGAAACGTCTTCGCGAGTCTATGAGAGCCCCAACATGACATGGGACAAGCAGTGAGTTCCGCCCGGATTTTCTGGGTGAGTCACTTTCCAGTTTCCGGACTTGAAGCTGAACCGTGGTAAACGACAACAGTCAAAGCTCTTTCTGAGCTTCTTTAGCCCCCCTCATGTCCCTAGCCCCTGACCTTATTTGAGGCATTTAGTGGTCACAGGCCCTCTCATTTTGCGGCGTAGGTTCCTAGGGTGTGCAGTGGCCCCGATTTGTTATCCTTAGAGCATGTTCTTCCATTTGCTTAAGTTTTTGTTTTTTTTTAATCCCCTTGTTGGTTTTTAAGGGAATCGATCACTACTGGAAATATTTTTTTTTTTTCCAGGGGTCTTAAGCAAATGGAGGTGGGGGGACTCGCATGGGGGATCCCAACCAGAGTAGAAAAACCGGGATCCCTAGATAATGACATCTACCTAAAAGAAAAGCTTCTGGCTGGCACTGGCTCCGAATCTTTGACGCAACCAACCAGATTCTGACAGCCAAACGAGGGCAGGCTGATTCATGCCCCTGACCTTCCCCCACTTCTACCCTCCCAACTAACATTGAAGTGCAAAAAGGCCCTTCCAAGACAAAAGTTGTCTTTCTACAGTCTGTGCACTTCCTTGTCAGCTGGTGGGAGGGTACTTTTCCAGCCTTCCCAAAAGGACACACGGAGTTGCTCACTCAAGTTCGCACGGGGCTGTGGGGTTTCTGCTGGTTCATCAGGCCCAAGGCCCGGCAACAGCAAGTGCACGTGTCTGTGGACACGTGGAATCACAAATGACGGTGGTTGTCAAAACTATTTTGGGATCCCACTTTGGTTGGTATGTGAATTCACTACCCATTTTAGAGCCTATTTTACGTATTTTAGAGGTTGGATTGAATCGGATGTTCACTGGGGGCTAATTAACCGATTTGGATTTGATTTTGAACAGTTTATGGCCAAATGAAGCTCTCCGTGGACCACTCTTTGAAGGGAAAAAGCCAACCCACCGCTGGTCAGAAAGTCCTCCGAGTCCAAGAGGAGCGCCGGCTTATCCCCGAACTTCTCTTTGAAGGTCTCCCGCAGATCTGGCAACGCTCAGCTTTGCCAGACGTGGAGCACCCGAATATCTACCCCAGCTTTCTAACCAAACATATTCTAGCTGGGTGTTTGGTTTGAGGGTACCCTTCTCAGCTTGGTTTCACAGGAAACCAAAAAGAGCCACCACATTTGTTGGGTCCCAGGCATTTGACACACGCACACACACATATACATTTATACATATATGGATATATGAACCCTAAACATGCAACATCAATTCGAGAGCGATAGGTCTCGGAGACTAATTTTAGGCAACTTGCCTCCTTCAAACACAGGACTAAACCTCCTTCTGGCTTCCATTTAAGGTGGAAGAGATTGGCTTTTCGCTTGTCTCAAGGCTCGGGTCTGCGTTGATTCCTCAAGCTTTGTCTCTAGGCAGAGCTCGAACCATATCCAGGCTCAGGTTCCAGAGGGTGAGGTTTGCTGTTGGTAATACTCACCGGGCTTATTGCTTCTGGTTTTTGCCTTTTGTGTTTGGGGGGGCTTAGCGCCTGCTAACTCAGCTGGAAGGGGTGAGAAAGGGTTTTCGCGTTTTACTGTATACCCGCGCTACCAAATACATGATTCATTCTCGGGATTTCATCTTGGAGAAACATCCCCCATATCTCTCGTAAATGGATCATAAGTCGACTGTAACTTTGATCGAATCCAAACGCCCTCGCACCATCGAAGCTCTCCCCTGGGGTATAGAGCCTCAGCGCAAAGCGAGCGACCCTTTGGCTTCGACCGAATCCTTGGAAGAAGTTAATCCGAATCCGTGCGTCAAAATAGGGAGACCCCCAAAATGGTGGCGTTCTTGCCAAGGTGAAAAGGGTACCCTCAAAATGCACACACACACACACGCACACCGGTCGCATGCTTCAAGCGGATTTGTGCCTGGCAGTTGAAAAATGGGAACCGGGATTCCCGCAAAAAGTCCAGACCTCCTCCAGATGTCCAGAAGCAAACAATAAGTTGAAAGTGTGCTTGGTCGTTGTGTTGGGTTTTTTCAAACAAAGCTGCCAAAAGGAACAATGGACACCACTGCAGGTCTGGGTGTAACTCAGGGAAAATGTGGCTCAATGGCGGCAATCATCATCAGAAAGCTCAACTATACTGGCTAGACATGTTGCTCTTGTTGAGCTGCCTTTCAAAGGATCTTGTCTGACCTCCAACGCACGCACCTCCACACATACACAAAGAACATACTTCTATATCTGAATGGCTGCTTGTCTTGAAACTGAGCTCGGGACCCCCACTGACCAAAAGAGCAGCGCCCGACACCCAGTGACTCTTGATTGTATACACAAAAGTTTAAGAGGATTGTAAAGGGTTAAACATTGTAAGTCACCAAACCCCGCAACGCCAAGTAGTGCCTCCTGCTGAAATCGTCAATGGGTTTGGGGCTCAGCTTGCTGGTGCTCAGGGAGAGTGGGAATGAACCCTGGGATTCCCTTAAAGGCTTAAAGGAAACCACAAGGGATGGTTTGTAGGGGTCATTCTCTGCTGAGCAGCAGCAAGTCATGGACGTGCTTGTTTAAGCCAAGGCCCGAGTCAAACCATGCGGAAAACCAAGCGGAAGACACCCCATGGACAGGTCAAATGAAGTCTTCTTTGAGCAAACAAGCTGTGCTTGTGACACGCCCCGATTATCTGAGCCATGTCCTAAACCTGTCATGATTGACTATGTCGTATCATGTTGCTTACTCCGGAAGACTACACCACTTTACGCACTTGGAGTTTTTGCTTACGCACAGCTCGATATGGCGCGACTTTTACTAAACATGTGCAACTCACCCGGATCGGTCTGAGGAAACTATTGGGGAAAGAAAAAGTGGCAACCTAATCCACCAGTCGTCGCAAAATGCTTGAAAACCCTTTGGCGGGCTTTCCTAGTTGGCAAAGTAAACTCACTGGACACTGTCGAGGTTTGCTCCGAAGACCCTAAACCCTAAACCCCCAGTGGCGGGGAAAAATGGGGACTTGACGAGAGGGTACCACTGGGTCTGGGTGTCAGGGTAGGGCTTTGTACAAAAGGAGAACAAAGAACTCAATCCTTGTGGTTTGGCCATGGGTTCAAGGTGATGCAAACAAGCGGCCTTTGAGGAGAACTACAGCGAGCCTTGGGTTGGACCAAAACCCCTTTCTTCTCTCTAATCTCATTTCCTGCGTGGACCGGCCAAACAAAAGCAACGACACTTGTAACTGTGGTCGTTTACCACACGCCACGAGTCTAAAGTCCAGGAGCTCAGGGAGTGCGTGAAAGGGGGGATGGTTTGACATGAAATTTCCGCGGCGGCCCGACACTTCAAGCCTCGAAAACCCAAACCACAAAGGACCATACCGACCACCACCCCAAAGAAGCCGAAGCCTGCAATGCTTCGCCTAGGCTGACTAACCCTGTGGCTTGTACTAAGTTCAGCAAAGTTGGCAAGTTGCTGAGAATCGCGGCTTCAGTTATATCTCAATCATAAGTGCCCCTGAGTGAAGGTGCCCACTCAGTGGGTCTCAACCCAAGTGGCTGACCACTTGCTAGCTTGGCCGAACATCCAAGTAAAACCACCCCGCCAAACGCCATCCTCCCAAAGGGTCAATTATAAGCCTTAGGACATTGCGGCCGAACGGAGGTCCCCAAAACGAACCAAGAAAGCGGCGTGGACTGGCGGAAGGCCAGCCAAGCCATGATCACAGCCACCGCACCTCGGAGTAGAACTCGCAGCTACGCCCATTGAAAGAATGGCGATGGACAGAACGATGCCGAAACTGTCTTATGGTTAACAGCTTCCCAATACCCCCGCGACTAACGTAAGGCTGTAAGAGAGGCCCTTTCTTGAGGGGTGGGCCCTGACAACCATGGTTCAGCACGAAATGAGGGAATGACACCTACGAACCCATCCAACTGGTGGTTTGATTGAAGGGGATGCAGCAAGAAAAGGGGCCTGGTGGGAACCCCCAGCATCACCAGCCTCACTTGGACCCAGCGCCTGAATTGCCTATGGCTCTGATTAGATGGCAGTTGGAAGTTGCTCGGGGCTGCTTTCATTATGGGTGGTTTTAGGCTAGATTAGATCTTACTATGGGTGGGTCTTGGGTTGGTTTGGGGTTCATTTAGGCTCAGCAAAGGGCTGACGTCCAGGCTGCTGTTGGGTGGGGTTGAGGCTGACTTTGGGTAGGTTTGGGATCTGCTTGGAGCTGATTTGTGTTGGGTGTGCTGCTGGTTTTAGCGGGGGCTTTCGGTTTGGGTTACGTGAGTTGGTTAGCTGGTGTTGGTAGTCATTTGGGGTTCATGTGACCATTGTTTTGTTTGTCTGGCAGCAAACAAGTATAAGGGCCCAACTAATTGTAATCAGCTTGCGGGGCAAGCTTACGCGAAACTCCATTATGGGGTACGTACCGTGTACCTCCTTGTTGGGCCCACACCCTTACTCCCCACGGCAACGGGACATCATGAAACATATCACCCCCTGGTTTTACATGCTTGTCCATTACCCGCCAGTGGAATCATGGGAACTGTATAAACATGGGGTCCCCTCAATGCATGTCGACATCTCCCTCCACACGGTGCCATGGAACCCAGAAGGGATGTCCAAACATTTGGGGACCCCTTTGGCATGATAAGAGACATTCAATGGAAACCTCCCCAATGTTTATAATTTTGAGAGTGGAACCAGCCAAAGAAAAAGTATACACCGAATATGTGCAAATTCAATGTCATGTTTTGCCAACATGAACATGCACGCTCAGATTTTCCCATCCCCATAAGCCCCAAAGAGCCTGAATTTCGAAGCCAGACTGAGTGGCTGGCATGAACTTTGATCAGGGACGGTGGACGGCCACCCACTTTTGAGTGGCCTCCTATTGAGTGGTTTCATAGCCACAGGGAACCTGACAGGGCCCTTAGGCGGTGGTTGAGAGCATGTTCCTCTACAGAAAGGCCCCAGTCAGGTTCCATGGCAAAGGGGAGTCATGCTTGTCACTTGCCCACAATCTTACTGCCAAGTGGATGATAGAAGGCGGCTTTCTTGGAGTGGCCATGAGGGATACAGGGCACCACTGGGTGTCTTGGAGTGGAACACTTCACTCACCACTTACCCACTTGCAACCACAGGCCCCGGGCATTGAGGTGTTCATCAAACATGGGCCACTAGAAAACCGAAGCCTGAGGAAAATTGCAAGCCCAAGTGGCAGCAATAGATGTATGGCGTTCCCACCTGCTGGTCAAAGACGGGGCATTCCAACGTGCTCCAGCCTCAGAGAACCGCTGAAAGGACCGGGGAAACACTCCGTGCCAGAAAAGTGAAACTGCGAGTGGTTCGTGGCTCCTTTGCTCAAAACTAAACGCTTAAGGTGGCTGGGAACCGCCAGGGTTCATCATGTGCAGAAAAGGACCTAAGGTCAGGCTTACTCAATTGCAAGGAAGAGGGTAATCAACTTTGAGTGACTTATGGTCCTCAGGGACTGGGGGAATAACCCCAAACCATCACAGTGCTCTCCTTTACAGGATCCCTAGCTTCATTCCCCCAAAACCCTCTTGATTCCCTACTGATAACGAGCATGTTGAACATGGTTGCCAATCTATCGAACTCTAACGTCGGTTTCGGTGGAATCGCTTTGCAAGTGGATGGCTATGCATAAAATTGGAACACGGTATGAAGTTGGCAGATCCGCTCAGTTCAATCATTTGGGCATGGTTTCTTACGTCTCCCCTTCAAACATCACCCGAGGAAAAGAAAACTCAATCAACCTTGGCCCACAGGTTGCTTACACCAGCCAAGAGAACAAAGGCAGGCTGTGGAGTCAAATCCAGTTCGCACAAATTTGCCGGCGGTTGAACCCAGCATTTTAACCGGGCTTCGTCCATCTCAACAGAAACTGGTACCTGGCGAGGATATGCGAGGATTGTGTAACCATCCACACCCTGTTGGACTCCTTTTGGGACACTTAACAACATGAGCGTGAGTTAGCACCCAGTTTTGTAGAGATTGTCAGGTCAGCTAGCTTGGACAGACAGGTTCACTGCTTTAAGTCGTCACTTGTTGGTCGCAAAGAGCAATTCCGATTGCGCCGTAAAACAATTCCAGTACTTCTGGACACCATAGTGGAAAACCGGGCACAGCCGCCATGTCCCTAACCTCCAGTGGATTTCCAGGAAGAAGAACTGGCACCTGTTGTTGAATGATTGATCCGAGCTCAAAGAAAGAACCAGCGGCACCATTGGACGTCTGGGACTCGAAATTCACAGGGACCATCCACTGTTATTACCTACTGGCAAGCAGTTGAGCAGTGCCACGCCAATGCGTGAGTTGAGGTCAAGCAAACACATATTGCACAACTTGGACAAACAAACCCTCTGCCCATGTTGAGTCCATACATTTCCCCCCTTAAGGACACTGCACGAAGTAAACTTCATTTACAACGTACAACCCGATATTGAAGCGATCTGAAAACTCGTGTCCGCATCGAATAACATCAATTTGATGCCCATAACAGTTGTACAGGGGTGCTATAAATCCTATGAAGCCAAGTACTGGAACCACTTACATACTAAATTACCCTTTTGGGAATCGGTTTTGGACACCTGCAAGCCTGCAAGGAAATTCGAGGCCCCAGCTGACCGTGTAAGTGCCATCTGGAAGAGTTGTTCTGCCAGTTTCCACGCCCACCGGGACGGCTGAGCGCAAGCGATCCATGCGAAGTGTCGGCGACCGATCGAAGGGCCGAAGCTGCAACGAGGCTGAAGCTGGGGGTGAATTTGTGGTTTGAGTGGGATGGCAAAAAATATGTTGCTTTAAATATCTGAAGGTTTGAGGGTAGTAGTATGGCTAACATGCCAACTGACACTTGATCCAGCCATCGTTTTTGGGATCCCTCCAGTTTGGCGCATACCCAACTGCTAATTGAATGTGTTGGGCTGGTGTTGGGTGAGCTTGCTCCATGGGATGCGCTGTCAGATTGAATAGGGTGCCCTCTACTCACAATTGCCATCCCTGACCTAGTTGATATCCTTTGCCAAGGAGAGCACACCCAGAACACCCCTCCCATGTAATTATGATTGAACCGGGGGCCTGGCAAACTTAGGAAGGCACTGAGTGCAATCTGGCTGGGAACCCGTGCGCGACTTGGGTGTCACAAAGAAAACAAAGCACACTTTTGTCAGTCATGGCCATGTCTCTCGGAAACACAACCAACAAGCCGACACACACAAACACGCATAAACAATCGATGATACGACGTTTGCGCGGTCATGATGTTAACTGGACAAGTTATGTCTGATGAGGGTGTCTTCTTTGAGGATACTCTTTCGGGGTTGGTTGAAAGGGCAACCAAATGGCAACCAAAGGGAAACTAAAGGGAAACCAAAGGGAAACCAAAGGGAAACCAAAAGGTACAAGTGATGACACCGAAACTGGTTGAACTAGAGTCACGGCCGTTCGAATCCTGCCTCTTTTTTAGCAAAAGAGTTCCTGGGTCCGGCCTGGGTGACCAATGGCCCTGGATGTGATTGGATGCTTATTCATCGACTATAGCCAGAAAAGAAGGTTTGCATGTTGCTTGCTGGTTTGCGTGTCCCTCCGAAATGCAATGTTCTGTGTTCGGCAGGGATTGCTTACCCTGATAGGATGCCAATGCGGGCCGTGGCCATGACAAATGCTTGCATACGCATTCCCTTCCACCCATGCGAAACGGTGCTTCCCACGTTGATCTGTCTTCCAACCAAGGTGACGAGGGTAGCCTCAAAAAAGACAAGCCGCTGGAGAGAATGCAACTAAAAAACCCACAGAGTTGTGCAGCAAAGGCTCTCGCTCTTTTCCGCGCCAGGGGAATGAACCCGAGAAGAACCTGGCGGGTTCAACAGCCGGTGAGAGTCGCACGAGTCGCTTCCTTCAAAGTTATTGCTGGTTGAAGGAGAAATGAAGAAACCCAAAGAGCAAAATGGCAAACAGGCGAAGCCCTGCAATTAAAAACACATCCTGGTACCGGTACAGAGGTGGCCTTTCTGGAATCCTTTTGGGACAACTTTTGAAACACTCAGCCCCGCCTGGCATTCTGACACGGAAGGAAAAGAACATGGGCCCCAACCCAGCATTCAGAAGCCCCTTTGAAACAGCCCCGACAAACGACTCCAGCTCCCTGTCGATCAATTCACACAAGTTGTCAGTTTCAAACCTGTAGGCCGCATATTTTGGGCGATGCTCGAAAAAGCTGTGCTGCTTTGAAACGGTTTTAGACAAAACGGGCCTTTGCTGCGACAGCATGAACAACAAAAAGGCGTCTCGAGTCTCGGCGGATTTTGAACCCCTGGCGGCGGTCATTTAATGGATTTCCTTGGGTGTGTTTCTCAGTGCTAGGGATTTCCAATGAACATGTGGCCGTGAAGGGTCCTCTAGCTCTCTCTCTCTCTCTCTCTCTCTCTCTGTCTCTCTCTCTCTCTCTCTCTCTCTCTCTCTCTCTGCTTTTCTCTTGCTATGAAGGAGAGGTTGTTTGTAACGCCATGTCCTACATGCGTATTTGCCTACCTAAACAAACGAGCAGTGACGTGTCTTTCTATGAAGGGAAGGGTCGTTTGCCACACGCCACTAAACTGCCCACGCGGGCTGAAAGCGGGCACGCATTAGCATTGACGATCATTGCTTCGACGCAAGGGCTTGCCCAGGCTGCTTGCATCTGCTTGAAGCAGATACTCACAAAAAAGCTGCGTTGTGTCCAGCATGGGGATACAAACAATTAGTCACCATGTAAGGGCTGCACACCGCAGTTTCTATTGGGGTGCTTGGGGGTGTCCAAACTTTCTGGACAGATCTGGGCGAGGCGCGCAGGATGCAGTGCGTGCCAGGGCGTGTCGAGAGAGTTTTAAGCGCCAGCTGTGCTGAGAAATCGCGGGCTACACGCGGAACTCAATTGTGGCCATCAGAGAACATGTGCAATAACAGAGCCGTCTCAAGATCACCGAAGGAGGCAACACCTAGCATCAAAGGACACACACAACTTCCTCACGGGCTTTCGCTTGTTTTACCCTTAAATACGTGAGCTCTTGATGATATTTTGCCCAAGAAGTGGGTGTGTCTTTGATGCGGGGCCCCCTACGGTGGGCTTTTTATTGGTCTCCCTTTAAAGCAACTCCCAAGAAGAGTAATCACCCTCTATTCTTCTGGGACCATCCCCTCAGCCCTGGCACCCACTTTCGCGAGCCTTCAACAGCGGCAGCGTGAGGAAGGTTGAGCCCACCCCTGCTTTCCTCTTGAAGTGATACCCGTGGTCTGGGTCCAGCGAGTTGAACCTCGGCCAAGACACCACAAGGCAAATCAAAAAAGTGCACGGTTGAGTTGAAGGGAGGGTGCTTGACAATCAAACTACATCATTGTTGCAGTAGAAAAGGGTTTGTAATCCGAAATAGGAATCAACCAGCCAAAACGCGACCGAACAAGCCCAGAGGAAGGCCAGCGGTTTTCGGGGGCCCAAACACCTTTAGGATCCCGATTTTCCGTCGGTCAGACACAAAGGAAGCTAGCGGTTCAAGGGTTGAGTGCAAAGAACTTGCACCTTCAAGGAAAAACACAAAACAGCAAAAAGCAACTGGACGGCTTTGACCAATAGCCAAATGGGCTGGGTGGTCCGGAGCAGCTTCCAGGGAGGGTTCCGGAGGATTTGGCGGTCTTCCGAAAATGAGGATTCCTGGAAAGAATGGAGCAATGGAGGAGAGTCGGCCCCGGATCGTCATCGCATCCCGTCCACCCAAACCAAACACCGCCAGCAAGCATCTTGTTGCTCCCGTCATATTTTGCACCCAGTGCGACTATTTCGTTTCATACGCTCAGGACGCGTTCGAACGTATTCCGAACGGCCCAAGGTCAAGGGAAAAAAGGCAGAGACCAATCCCATGGACCTCATCGCGAGCTTTGGAATCTTACTTGTCGTGAAGGGGCGACAGGGCCGGCTCAAATCTGATAGACGTGTGGTCGCAACCACCAAAAAGTAACCAAGTTTCGTCGGAGGGGCAGAGCCATATAAGTAACTACACATTGACATAATGTTTCTCATATCCTGACTTAAATTGGAGGAAACAAGTGCCAGGCAACGTGGTCTAATTTGGTCCGTTATACTGCTTCAACTCCGCTCAAAAGTCGGGCTGCTCTTCCTGCCAAGTATCGCTTCACCCGCTGCCGACGAGATAATGCCTCGGCGAGAAAATATTCCAAACAAAGGGCTCTTTGGTGTTGAACATGGGGAATATGGTTTCCAACATTGAGAACATGTTGCAACATCGACAAACAAATCAAACGATGGGATATGAATCCGCCGCGAACAAGATTCGCTTACTCTGAAAACAGCCCATTGGTTGATCTATGTTGATCTCCTTGTGCACGAACCACACGTCTCAACTAGCTGTCGCAAACTTAGACCATCCACAGGAACTTTCATGGGTACACTTGCGTAGGTGAGCTCGTTCTAATATGCACGTTTCCTGCCAAGCAAGCTTCCACAACGCTGTTCCTAGGCAGGCAAGTCCCAGTCACGCATGGAAAAGCTACAACTCGCGCAGGGCAAGCCAAAACAGTCCTCGAGCATTCACAACAAGCACACCGCAGCTCCCCGACCTCAGACCAATTGTATCCACGCATCTCGGGAATGCTTGCACCCTGTTGCGAACGCTTGCGGACGCAAACGACAGGTCCCGCGAACACTGTCCCCCAGGCTGCCAACGAGAGCCCTTCAGCTGTTGCTTGGCTTCCTAAAGGCTTGGGCGAGCATCCTCCGTGGCTGAATTGTGGGGAAACCCGGCTGCTTGCCGAAAACTGGAGCACCCCATGTTTCTTTGCTTCAGCACACAACAACTAAACATGTAAGCAGCAACAGCAAGGGGGATGTGAAGCAGTAAGTCAAGAGACAAGCCCTGCGCACCTAATTCTGCTTTGTACACAGCGTTGTACCCCCTGAACATCCCTGAGCCAAATTCTAGTCAAGTTATATTGCTTGTTGTCGAGAAAGAACAAAAAAAACAGAGTTCCTCATCGATCCCCTTTTCGAAGACTGCCAAAAGCTTGTCGTAATGGAAAGTCATCAGACTTAGATGCAAAATGTCAACTTGGTCAAAAGGGAGAATCAAGCAAAACAAAACATGGCCAAAAGATATATCCTTGAGTTTGGCGATGACTTCAAGTTAAGTGACTTATACGAACCACAGGGAACCTGAACAAAAGAGAGGAAAGAGGAAACCCTATCAACAAGTCTGTTTTCATGGGGGTTCTTCCCTGTTTTCAAGAACCTGTCTTCAAAAGGGTAGTTTTAAAAGCTTGAAGGTCAACATTCAACCTACTCGTACCTCGAGGCTTTTCCTTGGAGACTCTTCCTTGAAAACATTTTCTGGGATATTTGTTCTAACGTACCCCGAAACATTCTACTTCTCATCCCTGCAACACAAAAGATCATGCTTGTTGACCCCTCTTTTCTAGTGACGTAGTGATCACTATGTTGTCGTCTTCGTGCCCGAAAACTATGAAACGATTGGATTCGGACGACCGGCGTCTCGGCGCAAGAAGACCCGATGCTCGGGCCCCCGGGCTGAAGCCCGCGGAGCCGACGAAGGTGGAAAAGACCTGCGCCACCAAAATGGTCGTGGACAGCCCCGAGCTGATCACCTCGAACGGCGAAGCTTCGGGATCGGCTACAGCTGGGGTCATGATTTTGACTGCTTCCGGGGGAAAGACAGAAAATGTGGCTGGTTCCCTTGAACCCACCACTGAACTGGGGTGACTTTGATCATGGTTAAATAATGAGGCCAGTAAAGGGTGTGCGACTCTTGCAAGCATCCAAGGGGGTCACCCGATCTTGAGAGGGGTTGAGGAGCTTACAAAGGCGCATGGGGCTGCAAAGGGATGGAAAGGGCAATTAAATAGACTTCAAGGAATGAATAGAGTTTAACCCGGCTTAACCTGGGGGTTGAACAGGGATGACAAGTGCTCATCACCTTTTGGTCCAAATTCAAGAAAGGTTACTTTGTCTACCATGGTTGTGTATATATATATATGTCTATATATATATAGAGGGTGTGCCAGCCACTAAAAAGTCATAGCAAAATGGTGAGTAACCCCGTTTCATCGCCACTTTGGCCAATTCAAAGGAAGGTTCGTTTCGGGAATCAAAGACAGGAGGACATCTAAGGAAGCTCCTTTGAGAGCTTCTCAAAGGTCGGGCAGCGCCGCTCCTGCTTCTTGATCGGGCAACTTCCCAGCAGGTGGACTCCCGTCCGAATCTTTCCGTTGCAAACTGCAACGGATCCGAAGTGGATTGGTCAGAACAAGTAACCAGACGTTAAAGCTTTATCACTTAAAATGTTCTTCCAAAACCGCCACTAAATAGAGAATGAGGACGTAAAACCATCCAAACCTATGGATCCGAATGGGCTGGCTGAAAAGAACAAAGGTTGAGACAGAATGGCAAAAGGACTCAACCCCATTCGTTAAGGGGTTCTTGCTTGAGTGGATTGACGAACTTTGTTTCCACCAGGACGTCGACTGTGTTCCGAAAAAGTTCGGCAAAATGATAAGCAAGGGTTCCTGTACAAAAAAATACAACACTGGCCCGAAACGAAGGGCCCAAACCTCACTTGACGCGGCTCAGTTCAAGGGGCGCAATGGAACAAACCCAACCTTTGGCTTATTGCTACAGAACTTCCTGCGGGGCGTGAATCGTGGTTGTCTAGGTCCTCCAGATTTGAGAGGTTAGAGTAACGTACCCGACTGTTTTTCTTTCTGTAGTCTATTTTAGTAGGGGGTTGCCCTGCCAACCCAAAAAGAAACGGTAAAAGCGCACCTAGCTGGGCGACCTAGTTGTGGGAACTCGCTTGTTTCTTTGAGCTTTCTCAGCTCTGGGCGGGCGGCTCCACGCAATACCCGTCCTCGCATCCGAGTCTGTTGAATTGAGAGCGCAAAAAGCAGTCTGCGCCAATTGAGTATGGGTAAAAATTAATCACCAAGAGACCGCAGGTTTTAGTCCATGTTTTCACTTGCCAGGGTCCCATTTAGGGTACCTACTTTTGACCCACAACCAATTGTCGCAAGTGCCGCTGAAGGCCAAAAACTAATGGGACACGTGATGCATGACAAGTAGCTTGGGCGAGCATCCCAAGAAGAACCGCTCCATTTGACTGATTGGGGAAGCCAGCCCAGAAGTGGAATGTGCGAAACATGTAGCTAACACCCCCCGTGTTGAGAGACCCTAACGGTCCAAATTGATAGTATAGCCACAGCTGCGGTGGGCCAGATTTGGGGACTAGATTCATCCACACAGACCCTGATGGCCATGGGTGAAAAGCCCGTACTGCCAGTGAACATCCCAATCCCCACTAGAATAGACTAAAATGGGTGGTGCACCTACCCCAAAATGGTACCATTGGTTTTGACCCACAGCCAGATAGGTTTGTCTTAAAATGAAGGAAGCAACCCAAATTGACCAACCGAAGGGGCCTCCCGGTTTCAGCAAATCGCCCTTCCTCGTCCATGGACACCGGGGTGGGCGCTATGCTGAAGCCCACCTGACAGCGGGTGACGTTAGACGGGCTACCCGGCAAAATGCCTATGGGTCAAAACCCCGTGTCCCCTGTGAACATCCCAATTCCAACTAAAATGGGTTCTAAAATGGGTGGTGAACTCACCTACCATCCAAAATGCCACCATTGGTGTTGACCCACGGCCAAATAAGGAACAAGGTCACCGCTGGGTGTCTCACAATCATAATACCTCACCAACCAACTAGTCAGGGTGCGACACGACCATCATTTTGCAAAGGCAGCTCATGTCTACCACCGGGTAGGTTTAAGCGTATTTGTTTGGGAAAGTCAGAGCAACCTGGCAAAAAGCTTTGGGTTTACAACCTGACGCCACACGAGGGTTGCGTTTAAAGGAATCTGGTTGCTTCTCTTTTGTATTCGGCAGCGAAAGCCGCGGGGCCCGTTCGCCTATACTACTTATTGGGCGGATGTGGCGTTCTACCTTGGCACATGTTTGGTCAAGAGTGAAGACTTGGCCTTTGTGGGAAATCGATCCCTTTCCGATGCGTTGCGGAGATGTGCACAAAGTGGAGCTCGTGGCATGTTAGGAATGTCTAAAATGGGGTTTGGTGTCTTCTGATTCGTTGGGTCACACTTCCATTTTTGGAAAAACACACATGCATTCGAATGCCTGCTTGCCTTTCGCACATCGGCATATGTCCTTTTAGGGCAAATAGATGGCCCTGGTAGATGATTAAACCACCAGGTAAACCAGGAATCGCCATCACTTTTTCCACCAAACAACCAAAAGGACACCTATGCACATTCCCCTGATTAGTTGGGTTGCACCCCCGTTTTGGGAACACATACACACACACATCCCAACCGGCATCCAAGGAGGCCAAACGCTTGCCTTTCGCAAGTCACAGGCCTGTAGGGTGGAGGTCAAAATGAAGATCCACATGAAGCTTTCGACCAGGCCCACCCTTGGCGCGAAACCCAGCGACGAGACTTCCAGATCCCCATGACTCATGGGCTCAGTTGTTCAGTGACCCTGGAGAAACAAAAGGAACCTGTTCTTGGGAAGACCATTCTTAGGGGGCAGCCACCAAAAAAAGAAGGAACAATAATTGGTGCCACTGAACAACTGAGTGGGTTCTTCCAAAAAACCGACCCAAGCGCAATGGGTTCACAACTGCAATCCATGCAGGCTATCGCCGTAAAACTCGCATGTGACAGCTACTCATGCGCCTGGCCATTGGCAATGTCTGAAGAACAAGCCAGCAAGCAAAAGGGGCACCAACCAAAACGTGCTCCATGGGAATCGGTGGAGTAACCTTTAGGGACCTAGACGACAAATGGGTGTGGGCTTTTTTTGAGGGAACCGGTTGAACTCAAGGGAAACCACAATCAAACCTATAGTTGAGGGTCCATTTCGTTTCAAAACGGTCCAGGGACCTCCAGTCAGGTTCCATAGAGGGGTCGAAGAATCAGCTGGTGCCGACTGCTGCCAACGTGACACGTTTCAAGGGTTGCTCAAAATGGCTTTTCGTGCTTTCTCGGAAACTTCTTTTGTACCCCATTGTTTGGGTTCCTTCCGTTAATCTGCAAGGCCAATGTCCGATCGCCTGGTGCTTTCTGAAAGATGCAGCGATCTCTCTGCGCCGCATCGCCAAGCAGCGCTCGGTGCAGATCGGTCAACGTGAGCTGGTGGGGCTTCCGGCTGTAGACCAAGCCCATGCCCGGCATCATGTCGTTTACACCTGGCAGCCATACGTAGGCGTCCCCTTTTTTGCAGGGTGGGCCTTTTTGGGCAACCAAATTAAATAATTCTCATTTTAGGGTGTCCTTATCTTTGGCCCTTTGTTGTCTACATGTGCGTATGCAGGCTAGCCCCCCTTTTTCGGCCCAAACAAATGCACGCACATGTGAATACATATATATATATATATACAACACATGTGTGTCATGAAACATGTTTCTTGGGTAGGCTGATTGGTCAAACACAAACCCGCTGGCGCCAAGGTGCAAACAAGTTCTGCCGACTGTGGCCCTGCAGGAGTCATCAGGAGTTCTTACAATGGTTGTCTAAAATCCCCGCAGTGTAAAGGGGTTCATGACCATCCTGAATACCTTCAATGGCCCTAAGTAAACTTGATGGTGCTCAGTAGGGAACGACCCACAAAGAGAGAAAGAGTTGGGAATGAACCTAGGCATCCCCTGAATGCACACCGCAAGAAAAGGGTTTGTAGGGGTCATTCCCGCATTCCCTGCTGAGCTTTGACCATGGCACATGTGTGCGTGGTGCGTTTAATGGGAATTGCGCACATCGCGCAGACTACGCGCCCCTGATGCCATGCAGAGGTCAGCAACTCGTCCAGCACAAATGTGTTTTAGGTGCTTGGATCGTCCCCCCATCAAATTGTAGGCAAACACCGCGCTCATCCATCTGCCTTCCTTCATTTTCCGATGTACCCTTCTCCAAATACCGTCTTGTTAGGTATTATGGTCTTGTTAGGTATCATGTCAACCCCTGACTTACAAAAAGGAATTTACCATGAGACACCTGATTTCTGAAAATAGTCCCTTAAGCAAACTTGTAATATGAGCAAGGAGTGGGGTTTATCTCCCCACAGCAATCCTCACATTGCTTGTGCAGTTGCACTCTTCGGTCTCCTGCCACGTTTTCGCGACATAGGGCCCAGCCCATGTGATCCTCACTAAGGTTGCTGGTGCTCAGCAGGGAATGAGGGAATGACCCATATGAACCATTTCTTGTGGTTTCCTTTAAGGGGACCCCTGGGTTGATTCCCACATTCCCTACCTATCGCAGCAGCAAGGGAACATCCAAGGACTGGAACAAGTGGAAGCCAGTCAATAGCCCGGGTACCCAATCGCCTTGATGACCGCTGACCTCATTCCAGCTCACCAACCCAAGTTTAAACAAACAAACAGCAATCTTTGCAGCTCTCCACTAGACTCAGACTAGAAATGGACCGAAAAACAAGCAACAAGTATGCAACACAAAGGTAGCCTTTCAGGCCTTTCTAGAGTACAGGATGATGCGGCCAAGACTCTGCACGTGGAGAGATTTCGCGCTCAAACCCAACATGCAAACAAACGCTGTCAAACGCTTCTTTGTTTGTTGTGGTGCGGTCACCAGAAAGTCCATCAAGCCAACCCATGCAGCGAGATGGCTTCGTTGCTGCCGTGATGTCTTTGCATACTTCTGTGATACCGCTGGAAGGCCATACTGGTGAAGGGGAAGCCTCTAAGCCAAGCCTAACACCAATTCTTCGGCACGCCAGAAAAAAAGAAGAAGGTGGTTCCTAAAGTCAAGTGTTTGACCATGGCTTTGACTCAAACCGCTCAAACGCCACCACCGCTTCTTTCTCTCGCGCACCAAGCGCGAACCAAGGCGCCTCCGCAGTAGGAGGCCATCCACCACTTCTTCTCGGGCGTTTGCTCCAGCAAGGTGGTTGCCATGTGCCCCCGGCCTCAAGGAAGGTACTGACGGGACGGTGGAAGTACCTTTGTGGTGGTCCTATCCAAAACCAATAAATACCATTCGCCTGTGATAAATGCATACATGATTTATTAATATAATGTGCATGTGTCTATCTATTTGCTTGTTTATTATTTGTTGAACTATTTATTGATTTATTTATAATATATATATATGTTCATTGTTTAGTTGTTACTTTCTTATTTACTTACTTACTTACTTGCTTACTTGCTTGCTTGCTGACTTACTTACTTGTTGTATCTCAGATGTCTGTATTTAGCATGTGGAGGTGATATATATATATATATATGCATATATAATTTACACACTACCCACAAAAGCCGGTGCGTCAGCGCAGGATCTTTGCCAAAAGCGAGAGACAATGGGCCATGGTACACATGTCTCTTTCTTTGCTTTCTGGAACCAAAAGGCTTTACAGCGGTCCCTTCAAGCGGACAGGAAGTGAAGCAGCCAGTATTATGAGGCACGCCTTCTTTTCCAGCATGCATGTTCTATTCCAATCCGAGCCCTTTTCCCAGGAACTGGTTCCAAGCCAGTCTTTTTCCCATTCAATACTACTGTAGAATGCCGGAACTTGAGTTCATCAAGCACTTTGGCGCAAAGCCTCTCAAAGAAGCCCATATATAGAACACTACGGCACTGACAAGCGCCTCTGCCTGCTGTAACAGATTGAGATGTGCTACTCACTTTGAGAGAAAAAGAGAGAGAAAGAGAAGGAAAACAAAATCACCCGGATACAAGCAGGCTCAATCCATCTGCTTTTTAGCCATGTCTGCGCAAAGGAAGGCCGGTCTGGCTGAGTAAGCCCCAATGTTTGGTCTGGCAGTTGACACCAATGCTGCCTACGCTAGACTCCCCTGCCGAAACGACCAACAACTCGGGGTAAATGGCGGCCATCTTGGTGGACCCACTGGAAAGTCTTGAGGATGCAACACGTCATTGAACGACATCAGGGTCCCCAAAATGGGCCCTGTTGAGGAACGCAAAGCAACAAAGATCTAACATATCAAACATGGCTGATAACATCAGTACTTCGGATACAGGATTTCTTGTTCCACATGAAACAACCTATCCTCACTACCTGAAAATCACGACCCACCTCCACACATGATTCCTGTTGTACCCATAACCGAAACACGGGCAAGGGCCCCTTTTGTTGGGTGTACAGCACCCCCTCCATACCTTGGGGCTGGCGATGCCCACGAGGGCAGTCACTTCAAATTGCCCCAACAGGTGATTCCCAGAAATGGCCAAAACCAGTCCAAACTGTTTTCTGACTAAACTGGTCCTCCCGAAAAGTGTGCGGTCCCGGAAGCCAGGAAGCCAGGAAGTCAGGAAGTCAGAAACTCAGAATTGGTTTCAGCACCGAAAACCAAAGCCGTTTCCCAGCCCGCCGCTCGTGGCCGGCTCCAATCCCCTTTGGGGCGCCGCGCCGAAGGCCAAGAGATAGTACTGCACCAAACCTCCGCAAGGCCAGGGTGCCTTCACGCCCCAGTTGAAATTGATTGCAGTCGCTTGGAATCCACTACCATTTTGCCTTGGGAGCATGATCTCCAAGAACAATCCAATGAACATGCACTCCCACCATTCACTGCTTGCCTGTTTGTTCCCGGGAAACGCCCGCTGCCTCGTGGGAAAGTAACGTACGGCTGACCCTTGGCAGAGCATACTAAAGTCCTGTGCCACAGGTCGAGTGGGCTTAACACTTGGCCAGACAGATCCACCCGCAAGGCCGGGAGCTTGGCCTTCTGGCAATAAAAGGCAGCCAAAGCACAGCCCATGACCACGGAGGCAGCGATAGACATTGCCAGCTCCAGCGCAAAGGCCTTAAGCCCAGGCAAAAGAGGGGGAAACCTTCCCCGCGCAAACGCCCACTGAATACTTAGAATGGGGTTGTGGGGTACTTTAAACCAAAATTAGGCATCAAGTCATTGTTGGGCCCCTTCTATTTTGCGTGGGGATTCTGTTGGTCTCAATTATGGTTTATGCAGGTTGGTCCCCTTAGACCCGTTGGTCCCATGTCATTTTGGCAAGTGTTTCGACATCGTCCCATGTCATTTTGGCAAGTGTTTCGACATCGGGGTGGCTATAAAGGGAAGCCAAAAGGGCACCGCCCGTTGGGGGAGCTCCTCAATGTGAAAACAACCCCATGTAACTACCTCCTGGTCGCTCCTGGTTACATTGGGAGACGCACTAAAAGTGAACATCATGATATGCTCAACTTGTTGGGCCCCTTGTCTCCCACTTCTCGACTGACATGGCCAACACAAAAAGGTGTAACTGTCTGTTTGCCGCCAACCTGGTCTTGCCAAAAAACTATGAAGCCCGCCCGTCTAAAACGCACCACCAAAAGCAACGTGATCCGTGATGCTGACCAAGGCCGCTGCAGCTTGACTGATGACAATGAGTTGCCACTATCAGAGACCCTTTTGTCAGACGTCTAAAAGCACCCAAAACTACCCACACCAAGCGAGCAGCGACAAAAATCCTGGCTCGACAAAGATTGTTGTAAGGTTATACAGGTCTTACATGGTCTTACTGGAACTATAACATCTGTAGCTGCTAGAGGATTTGGGCGATGCTAAAGTAAAAGTGTTGACTGACCATTGCACCCGCGCTCCAGAAAACGGGCTATATTAACCCGGGATCCATCCAAAAGTCTGACTCAAGGGTTTTCAAGTTTAATCGGGGAAACCGTTACTGACTTTCTGCAAACAAAAAGAACGGGGACCCCCAAATGACAAAGGTAGTTATCCCTTCTGGGGAATTCCTTGTTGGGGAGTGCTATTGTGAGCGGATAGTGATTATGAATATGCTTCTTGATTCTTGTCCCAGTTGCCCAGTGTCCTTAGTAGAAACGAATCGGGCCCTTTAAGGGGTTGGGTGACCTATTTTTCTTGGGAAACCCCAAGTTCAAAGGGAATTGGAGGTACCGAGAAAAGAAGGGTCAACGCTCACTTCCGATCGAGTGGATGGCCCAAACAAAGTCCAAACTTTCTGATTTCCACTAAAATGGTCTTCCCAGAAAGTTTAAAGTCCATCGACTCAGGAAGTGAGGAGCTGGGAAGAGACGAAGGGAAGCCCGTGGGGGGGAGGGTCCGACGGGGTTTGCCAAAACTCGATCAAGCGCCGAAGCGAACGGCTCGGAGGTTTTTTGCGCAGCCAAGACGCTGCGGAGGGGTAGATGAGACAGGCGCATGCCATGCTACAAATATGGAGCGGGAAGAAGTTGATGGTCTTCCTTGGGCTGCCCGTTTTCGGATCCCCCGCTGAAAGTGACCAACTTTTAGTGGGTTAAATACGGAAACTACTACTAAACACTAAAAAGCTAAAAGGCTAAGGGGATGGCTGGGAGCCACCAAGCTAGGTGGACTCAGAAGTTCAGTGGGAAAGAAAGGGCACCAATCTATTTAAGGACTTCTCAGTCCTGTGATTCCACCCAAACATAATCACGTTGGACAACCCTTTGACCAGCCATGAAGCTGCCATGCGTGGTCCGTCCTTAAGGATCAAACCGGGTACTACCAGTTGGCCCAAACCCAAACCAAACAAGCCCGAATTTCCCCGGGTCCTCTTTGGCAAACAAGCACTTTTGACAGTGCCTCAAGTGACTCTACTAGCCGACTCAAAAGGGGGGGGAAAAAAGGGAAGAACAATAACCTCGCAGGATCGCAGGTGACGTGATTTGAAACCTGAATCCATCAAAGTGGTCGCATCTTGAGGGGGGTTTTAAAAGTTATGTTTGGAGTGCTTTCCTTTAGACAACCATTTCGAGGGCAAATGTCAGGATGTCTTTCTAAAATGGACCCAGAAAGAGGGTGGACACCTTCTGCAGCAACTGGATGGGAGATGCCCTTTCACCTGCCAGAAGTTCTCAAACTGGCGTTCATTTATCTAACGTATACCTATCCTTGGTCGCCGTTGACCCCCCGTGCAAAAAGTTAACTTTTTGGGGGTTTAGTGGAAAAAACAACTTTATTTCAACCAAGAAGGTAAAGTCTAAAGATCCAACCCAATAGCGGTCAAGTATCCATTCCGATGAGATGTTCCAATTGTTCCCGAGCCCATGGCAATGAGTGAGCCACCTCAAAACAATGGGCATGTGTGGCCTGATTTGCCTTTGTGTTGGCTCCACCTCTTGAATTGCAAGCTAAGAGGAGTCTGGAACAACTAATAAATAATCCACCCCCTTGGTTCTTCTAGGGGCCAGTATATTATACTATTTGCGTGTGTGTCAGAATAGTCGGAACCTCAAACGGATGGTTTGCCATTACATGGCCTTTAGACCAAAGCAGCACCACAAAAGACCCGTCCCGATTTACTGGCCTCATTCTGTTCCCAAAGTAAACAACAGTCGACCCCCCAGCGTGGGAGGTCAAAGGGAACAGCAGAATCCAGCTGCTCATGTTGACAACCAGAAACAGTCAGGATGACCCCGGCGCTGTAGACCCAAAGTGTATTGGCTAAGATAGCAACAACTCACACCTTTAGCGCCCAATGCTCTAGCCAACCTCCGGCCCGGCCAAAGTAACAGCCAAGCGGCGCTAGCTGCACCTCGATGGGCAGAATGGGCATCCGCTCGAGGATTTTCTTCTCGCACCTGCGCTAGCTTGTTCCTAGGCAATACGGGTGGCTGAGCCCAACCAAGCACAAGATGCTTCAATTCGACAGGTGACAAACCGGAGCATTTTGGTCTGGAGGGCTGCAAAGGCGCAGCGGAAAATTGCCCCAACTAGCGTTGAGGACAAACGTGTTGCTACATGGCATGATGCGATCTAGAGCCCCAAACCAGCCATGGAAGGCAAAGGTGTAGCTTCAACAAAACAATCTCGCGGTAACGCCAAAGGCGAAAGCCTCTCGCGGGAAGTCCGATGGTCGCAACTAACTTCACCCTTCACGTGGATCAGGGGAGCTCCAAAGACCTTGGAAGAACAAACTGGCCGACAAAAGGAAAGCCAAGGAAACCCTTTCCCAGTTTCCACCCCTTGCGGTTTGGTCAAAGACTCGGATCCCTTGATGGGTGGGCGGGGCGTGGGGGGTTTTGGGGCATCACTTTCCTTATGCCCAGCTGAAGAAGTTCGCAGTGCAGTTCGGTCGGAGTGGTCCGGGAATCGCCGTTGCTTTGCGCGCCCCGGTAAGCCCCTGGGGTTAGCTGGTCAGGTGCCCCCCCAAAAAGAGAAACAAGGGGCTAGTAGTTGTGAAAACACTGCCGGGGAGAACTTGTTTCAAAAGCCCCGAAAAAAGGGTCCCTGAAGGAAGTTTTAGCAGAGTTTGCCCAGGAGCTGAGGAAGTCAGCAATTGGGTAAAACAAATCACGTGGAACCCTTCAGTGTACTTTAGTGGACATTCTATATGTACACAGACGGATTCATGCAAGAGGTTCAGCCAATTCTGAGACAGTCCCAAACATCGTTTCCACGGTTTGATTTGTGTTCGCCAAAGCTGCAGTGAAGCTGAAATCCATGGGTTTTGTTGGGCTGCATTTTGGGGTTGGTGACTTGGCTGTCGTCCAGGAGACCACTAGAATGGGGCAGCGGCTGCGAGCGAGTACCCCAACGCATTGTTCCTCTATAGTTTCACGTTATTCTATCCTCCCACAGCGCGAAAGCAGGAATGGCCAGAAAAGGTGCAGGAGTGCTTGGTGTTCGTCCCTCCGCGTTCCTGCGGCGCATTTTCTTGTTTTTCCTGACGTTCTGTGCAAAGCTTTATATGTTTGCCTTCTTGGGACCAAATTAGGTCCGCAAAAAGCTACGGCTTCGAGCTTCCATGCAGCCTTTTCAGCATTTCTAAGTCTCGCAAACAAGGTGATGGAAGGTGGCGCAGCTTGTAACAGCTGCCAAAGCGCCACACCCAGTGCTTGTGCAAGGTGACGCTGGCCAACTGCGCCAGCAGAAGTGGGTCCTATCTTTGTGGTTTTATACCCCTGATTCAACCAGGTGGTATTTACTCCGGAAAACCAGGTTTTACCAAGTATATAGTGTAAAAAACCAGGTTTTACCAAGTTGTGTCACATAAAAACCCAGGCTTTACCAAGCTTTGTCGCGTAAAAACCAGAGGATGAACCCTGAGCCAACGTCTACGCCACACACGAGCCCCGCGTCGGGCGCCTCCGGGAGCGGCAAAGCCAGATGACCACAAAGGTGACGGTGGCCCCCCAGCCCGCGGCGCCCAGGGACCAGATCAACTCGCGTGGATCGGGGCTTGGGCGAGTTGGAACAATTCTGACCAAATCCGTGTACAGGGGTGACATGGTGTGGGAGGTTTAGTTTGTCCCAACATCGTGGACCAAAACTGGTGCCTACAGTTTGCTGACTTGGGACGCCAGCTTTCAAGTCATTGCTCAGAAGGTTGAAACATTTATTCCGGTGAAAGCAAAGGTTCATCGACAGGGGCAACTACTCTGTGTAAGCACGCATAAGACAATAATGTGTTTTACCAAACGCTCGCCCGAACCAAACAAAAAATGGCTCGCATAGGCGCACCTAACTCCATTGACCGGGGACACGTTTCACCAGTTCGGTTCTGTTCGAACAACCCTCCGGAGAACTATATTATATACTTAAGAGGAATCCGGCCTAAACTGAAAATTCATCAGAATTTTGACTCCCCACGAGAAGGGGAACCTCCCCTGCATTTGTAACGGTTGTAGTCCGGATCAACCAGAGTTAGATTGGCTGTTGGTTCAGCCAAGCGCGTCATTCGGACGTTGGATCCATGGAGCTTCCTTCTTCCCCGCATGCCCAACATGCCTCCAGACGTTCCTCCAGGGCCATGGGAGAAAAGGGACTTCCACTCCCAAAGGGAACACAAACCATTTGCGGTTTCGTCCCCTGGGGAAGAAAAAAACCACTTCCAGTCGTGAAATCGATTCCCTTTAAAACCAACAGGGGAAAATAAAACATATTCTTAACCAAATGGAAGGAACACAAGCCAATCATTGCCTTCTATGCTTGGCTGGAATTAGGACCTTAGCAAAAAAATACATTTTTGTGCGGGGTTAGTGGAAACAAACTGAACCCCAAAAAAACAAAAGAAAGGGAACTAACTCTGGGGAAGTATGTTGTTTGTTGGCGCTGCTCAATTGTGTGGTTGACCCAATGACATTCAAACCTCACCTCACCGGTTCGGGCTCTTGATAGGGGCTATCTGAGCCATCAAACCACTCCTCATGGAGCTACTCCGTTTTTTGCTGTCACATCTTGGCTATCCGACCCCTCGCAAAATGCGATTGAAGGGAGAAGGAAGGAAGAAAACCTCAACCGGCCTGCGAAGCTGCAACAACGGGCAGCCAAACTCTGGTCAGCTGCCTGGCCTGACCTGCCTCAATCCCACATTCCTCAAGGACCCCCTGTCAGGTTGACTTGTTTCCGCCAGGGGTTGCCAGAATCAAGCCTGAGAAACTCAGTTGTGCCAAAGGTGGCATTGCGAAACAAAGGTTTCCATCCCTGAATCAGCTAACGCCATACTTGATGATTGCTTCCATTTTGCTTGGTAAGTTGGAGTCCCCAACATCTTGTTGAATTTCCGAGTGGCCGGTCTCACCAAAAATATACAACCTTGAAGTAGATTCCAATGTATAACAGACTGCATAGATGG